TATATATATATATATATATATATATATACGGTAGATTTTGAGGTGCTACTGCTTACCCCTAAGGCGCATATAAATCTCTCCTGATCGAATCGATAGTGCGCCCGCAGCAGATCGAAGAATTTGAACATGCACTCGAGTTCGGACAACGCCGCGACTTTTTTAAAGTGTTGCTGTATCAACTTTCGGAGCGCCTTCGGCTTCATTCCGTTCAGCACGGAGCGCGGCAGGAATTTGTGTAGACCAACCTGTGGAAGGGATGTAGACACTATTCGTTTCACACATATACTTTGTGCAGCGAAAGGGATGCGAATGAATGTGAATATGCAGCAGGCTGTATTGCCGTGAAATCCAAGTTATCGTGGCCAGAAAAGGGGTTTCTTGCTTCGAGAAACTCTTACCTCACGCTCCAGGTATTCCAGATTGCTCTTCTTGTCCAGGGCGATTTGCGGCATGTCCTTGAAAAAATAGCGGATCTCCAGGCAGCAGAGCTGTACCGCGACGTCCTGATCCAGAGTGGCGTGATTCGCAAGCAGGTAATCATTTCGCACCTAGAAAAAGTATATACAGTGTATACAAATAAATGTAATTTGCAATTTTTATTTTTGAAACGTTAAATCTCGCTTAAACTTTAATGCATACAATAATTTGCTGATCCTTTGCTACACAGTAGAAAATATTTTGTACTTGTATTAAAATTTTTAACATATTCGAGTGTTAATTTAACATAATGTGATTATGTTATTTAAATATTTTGTGTTAAATTGATATTTAATTCGTGTTACGATATTTAAATTATTAACACATGTTAACGATATTAAATCCCTAATTGTGTTAAATTACATACATTTCTTAACATTTTTAAATTAACATAATTCATAAGTAAGTGAATAAATAACATAAAAATAATGTAATTTTATTACAACGTAAATTCTAAAATAAATAAAAAAGAATAAAAAATAAATTATGTTAATTTGATATATTATAAGTGCTAATTTTACTAAAGAAATATGTTTCCACGATTTGTTTCCAAATTATATTAAAGCGTTACATTTTTGTATTAATATTTGTGTTATTCTGTAACATATTTATCTTGTATTAAATTAATATAAATTGAAAAAAAAATTTGGCACATGTGACATGTGTTAAACATAACACAAATTTTCCAACTGTGCACACATAATAGGGATCGTTCATGTCGGGATTCCTTTTCATTTTTACATTACTTTTTAATTATTTTTAGAAAATTTATTTATTGTATACAAAAATTATTATAATATAATTATATTAATATAATTATTAAGTAATTTTTATGCATAGGTACTTTAACATCTTTAGATAGGTACTTGTAACGGACTAAAAAAAGTACCTAAAACGGATACTTGTAAGGTTGTGCATTAAAAACAAATTGTATATAAATGTTGTAACTAATTAGAGTTGTCACGAATGACCTAATCGTGTATACTAAGAGGACACAAATGATCCAATTGTGTGTACCAAGCGATAATTGCCCACCGACATGCCCATCGACATACCTGATCGTAATAGTAGTAAAATGTGACTTTGTCCTTCTCATAGAGATCATTCAGGTTCTGAGGAAGATAACGCACTCGCAACTCGTACCTCCACTCGCAATGCGGATGTTTTCGCTCATACTTTTCTTGTACCTGAAACGGATACGTTGGGAAAATTGCGAGAAACGGAATATTGCATAACAAGATATGCTGGCTCACGCGTATCGATCTGTACCTGATACATCGTTGTATCCTGATGCAACCAATAACTCTCTCCGGATCCGGGATGGTGTAGCCTCATCGCGTACAGATTTCGATAATGTCTAGTACCAACGGCTAGTCGACTAGTTACCAAAGAGATGATACCCCTAACGTCGATCGCATCGCCGAATTTGACGACATTAAAGCCACCTGAATTGCAGTGTCGGAAAACGAACGATTGTATTGATAAACCAGCGTGTCTTTTCTCTTCTCAGGATATATTGATTGACATATTTTGATTATGACATTTATAGCGGAATGTATTTAAATTTGCGTTCTTATTAATCTCGTAAGAAACGAAATTAATTATAACGAACGATTGTATTGATAAACCTGCGTGTCTTTTCTCTTCTCCGATATATTGATTGACATATTTTGATTGATATTTATAGCAAAATGTATTTAAATTTACGTTCTTATTAATCTCGTAAGAAACGAAATTAATTAATAAAAAATGGAGAAATTCATGTAATTGTTATTCTTTCGCTGGTACAATATTAAAACAAATGAGAAATCAAACACGTTCAAGAACACAAAAAAGTAATAATAATATCACGACCGGCGAGCCGATTTTATTTGTTCTGGCGAGAAATGAACGATTGGATTGATAAATCTGCATGTTTTTATCTTCTCCGATATATTGATTGACATATTTTGATTGACATTTATAGCGAAATGTATTTAAATTTACGTTCTTATTCATCTCGTAAGAAACGAAATTAATTAATAAAAAATGGAAAAATTTATATAATTGTTATTCTTTCGCTGGTACAATATTAACAAATGAGAAATCAAACACGTTCAAGAACACAAAAAAATAATAATATTATCCCGACTGGCGAGCCGATTTTATTTGTTCTGGCGAGAAGCGAATGATTGGATTGATAAATCTGCATGTTTTTCTCTTCTCCGGATATATTGATTGACATTTGTAGCGAAATGTACTTAAATTTGCGTTCTTATTCATATCGTAAGAAACGAAATTAATTAATAAAAAATAGAAAAATGTATATAATTGTTATCCTCTCTTTTGCTACAATATTAACAAATGAGAAACCAAACATGTTCAAGAACACAAAAAAGTAATAATATTATCCCGACCGGCGCGGCGAGCCGATTTTATTTGTTCTGGCGAGAAGCGAACGTGCCTCGTCAACTGATCCTTTATTTTCTTTCCTCGTAGGGGAGTTCTTTGACAAGGATATATTTCAGGATGACATAACTTACCGTTCGGAAGATGGACTTTTAAGGTCGCCTTGTCCATGGGGGTGGGCGAGCCATGCGGCGGGGTGTTCCTACCGCCGCCGCTGCTCTGGACACCTCCGACACCGCCGCCACCTCCATCTCCTGCTCCAGTGCTCATCCCCTCATGGCTACGGAAAAGAAAACAAAAGAGTCGATTTAATAAACGCGCTAATTATGCATTTTTCACTTCATAAAAACCGCCCGTTTACAGGGCGGTTACGACCCGTTAACAGGGCCTCACGCTTGGTAAAGATCAATTAATCAGCGTATCTCATGAAAGCTTGTTTTCGAAAGTCTCCTCGGGCAAGCTAGATCCGAGGTCTTTAGGTTTTCGATCTTCCGTGCTGGTGTAATTTATGACTTTAATTTTTAGATAGATCGATTAACGCAGAAGCGTTATAGTCTCTCTAATTATAAGAAGGAAATATTCTTTTAATTTACATAAAAAATGCAATCTTTAGGAATTTTTATATTGTTTTTTAGAGCTAGCTTTTCATAATAAAAAAAGGACTCTATATAACACTTTAAAAATTGATCACCGTCTAATAATATTCGAATCAAAATAGGACATTTCGATGCTTAATTAGTATTTCGAAAATAATTATTTAGTATTTTTTTACTTTGTTTGGAATTAAATCAAATGCTATGACTGGATTTTTATAAAATTACTGACAAATTAAAATTTTTTTATTATAATTAAAACCAGACCGATTTAGTGTGTGAAAAAAGATAAATAAAGACAGAACGGCGGATTAATAAATGACTAATAATAAATAATAACAATATTTTTTTAAATATAAATTTGGATGTATCAAGAGTCAAGCGATATGTTAAAATTCCGTATATTTTGCGTGATCCACAATCAAGAATTTGATTCAATTCATTCATTTTTCCAAATTGTTATTCTTTTCTCTCCCTGCGAAACAATGCATCGCATTTGCTTTAGTAGCGATCAGAGGGAAGACGCGCGCAGCTCCTGCAGAAGTCGTGAACGAGAATAATTCGCGCGACCCAAAGAATTATTGGAATTAAATCAAATATTATGACTGGATTTTTATCAAATTACTGACAAATTAAAAATTGTTTATTGTAATTAAAACTAGACTGATTTAGTGTGTAAAAAAGATAAATAAAGACAGAACGGTGGATTAATAAATGATTAATATTAAATAATAACAAAATTTCTTTAAATATAAATTTGGATGTATCAAGCGATATTGTTCAAAATTCCGTATATTTTACGTTATCCACAATTAAAAATTTGATTCAATTTATTCATTTTTCCAAATTATTATTCTTTTCTCTCTCCGCAAAACAATGCATCGCATTTGCTTCAGTAGCGATCAGAGAGAAGACACGCGCGGCGCTCCTGCAGAAGTCGTGAACAAGAATAATTCGCGCGACCCATGTAGCCTCGCGACAATTCGTTTCGCCGTGAAGGACATTCGCGTTTCGATCTGTCGGATACGTGAACGTTACGTCCCGCGGCTGCGACGAATGCAATCGCGAGCCCCACCGTGCCCCATCGGCGGTAGCGCAGAGCTCGCTCTTGCGAAACCGAACGACGCTTTCAGATGTTACCGTGACCAGGGAGCTGGCCGCAAGAAATCGCGAAAAATCGCGTCAGCGGAGATGCGGCGAGACAAATCGGATCGTCGTGTCTCCGTCGCCCCGTTATCGAACAGATCGAATCGCGATTGCCGGTTGATGACATCTACACACGCGTGCGGATGAAATCACGAAATCACACCGATCGCGGCGAAGTCCGCGAGGGTATATTATTAAGTCACGTAATGATGCATTTAACATTTTATACAGTAAGAAAAAAAATTGATTGTACGAACTAAATTTGTATATAGTCGTTTGATTCAATGGTTGACTCAATTCTTTAGTTGCACAAAGAAAAGTATATAGTTCATTCATGTCAACCATCAAAATGTTTTAATCAAGAATCAACTGAACCAGCTCAATTTAATTATTTTGTTCGAAACACTAGTATAGTATTTATTTGTGTTTGCATGCTATTTAGTTAGCTATCCAAGTAATATATTTGTTCAAATTCCAAGTATCAAACTGACTAAACAATACTGATAAAGATAATATAAATAGTGTGTATTTTTAATCGAACGGTTGAATTAAATACGATAAATTTTTGTTGAAACAAAATAATTTAGTTAAAAAATAGTATTTTGTTTATAATAACAAATTATTTTCTGTCATCATAGTAACGTTTAGTTGAACGTATCGGACTAAATATTATGGTAGGATGAAACAAATTTTGCGTTTTTCACCAAATTTTTTTTCTCAATATACGCTGTATAATTAAAGGAATAAATTCACAATGACGAAACGTTTTTGTATCGAAAACACTGTAGTCTTTTCGATATAATTCTCTCGAGTGAAATGATATACAAATCATTGCCGTAGACTGTGTTTGCATTCCGGCTATTAATGCAAATGTATTATATGTACGAGCGACGTCCGGCTAAGGAATGCCGTCGATCAGGGATCAAGCGTTCGCGCATGGAACCACCAGCCACGACGCCAATCGGTGTGCAAAGCTCCTAGGAAGATCGGTAATCGGGCTCTAAATTTATGTTCATAAAGTTACACGTTTGCTTTAGATAATGTGATCGATAAAACAGAAAATTTTAAGAGAAGATTTTCTAAGAGATAATCTTCAAACTTCTCTCTCTACTCTCACTCACTTTCGAAATTTTACAAACTCTTTATCTTATGTAAACAGATTGAATAAAAAAGATTAGCATCCCGCGTCCTTTCCTCTATATACCTCATTAAAATAAGAAAAGTATTGTCATATTTCTAATTATAAGTAGTATACATTCTGAAATTGATTATATCAACGAGAAGTTTACGATAGAATGTATTTACGTTCAAAACAGAACTTCCGTTATCATAATTGGACTTCATATTTGCTGAAGAACGTTGGATAGACTTAACTAGTGTATAAGGATTTAGTTAGTATTTTTTATTGTCTACATCTATAAAAGACTCTATAATAAGAATAATTAGATATAGTAAGTTGTAAGCGGCAAGAAATTGACCAATCACAGTATTCACAGTTGAATATAAAGGGTACAACACCCAAAAAAAAATATTCTAGTTATAAAGTGAAATTTCCTCCAATCCCATATTTTAAGCGAAAACTTTTACAGAAAGAGTATTCCTGTTCCAATAAAGTGAACTGTTTATCTAAAATCTATTAGATATTATTTTTCGGCTTTCCTCTTGTATTAAGAGGAATATGTTTTTTTCAAGCGAAATGCCCTCTTACATGCGATATGAGTAACACGAAAAGCAATGTGTATCGCTGCGTTCTGCCGCGTGACAATTGATTGAAGTGTTGCGCTGCATTTGCAAAAACAGACGCAGTAAAACTGCGTTCCGTTATTCATTGTACATACTGAAAAACTACAGTACAAATAATGTGCATTATAAATATAGATTTACAGTACAAGATTTGTACTGTAAATGCAAGACGAAATCATTCTAACTATTAGAATATTGTGCACAGAATATTTTCCTCTTAATTTCAAAGGATTCCTCTTGAGGCCATATACAAGAATAAAATCCTCTAAGATTTAGCGGATTCCACTAACATTAAAATTATTTTTTTTGGGTGAATCGATTGTGATTGGTCAATTTCTTACGATCGACTTACACCATATTACTCCCATTGTAGACGACCCTTAAAACTTTTAATTACATTCACTAGATTCTTTCATTTTTTTTTACTAAAAGACAATCTTTTTTTACTAAAAGCTAAGCTAACTAAATAAATTTAGTATCATTCTCAAGAAATTCTGGTATATATATTCAACAAGAAGAAAATAATCGTATTCATCTGATAATCTTGAATTTCCAAATCTAAAAGAATTTGAATTCGTTTATTTTCTAACAGAAACGCATGTACTAGTTCAATCAACCAGATTTTCAATTTATAATTTATATCTGGCAAAGCCAGATTTTTTTCAATGTAGAAAAATCTCAACGAAACTTTCACGATATTAACCGTGCGATTGAGAAAATTCAGCATATGACACAAAAATCGATGACAGAGATAGACACCTGGTGGATCGGAAAGAAGATACAATTATCGACATTGATTTACGCATCGTACAACGGATTTCGGTGCAAATTGCGCTTTCCACACGCCAGGTCCGAGCTGGGCTCTGTCCGCAGCCGATACCAATTTACGCGCGCTATACCGCGCGAAAGTTCACCCGCGCGTTCTTCGCGCAATGTCGTAACGTTACACCGATCCACATTACGGCCGCGGCCGTAAACCGACACGGCCGTGTACGTAAATCAGCGGACGCAATTACACGAATAGAATTATGAGAGTGCACTAGGGCACCCCGATATATTATTGCGCTAACAAGGTAACACGCGCAAGTGTTCCGCGCGCGGATTTTGATCGGCTATCAGATACGCGTAAGTAGTACGGAAAAATAAGAGACACGTTATAAGTATATTTGTACTCTTTAAGGCGATGCTGGAGAAACGGCCGAATTCCATAGTGTCGCTGTTTTATTGATGATTTACGCACATGTATGTGTGCGATATTGGTGTATAGTAGTGTGTAGTGATGTGTTTATGTTTCACGCAGAGAAAGGATTAGCCAATGCAGCTAATATGTGTCTTTAAAATAGGGACAGCTAATATTGTTACTGCCAAAGTTTAAATTTATTAGTTGTTAAAATTTAGGCGCTACAGCAAAAAAAATTTGCTACTAGAATCAAATGACGTTTAGCTAATTCTATTAAGGAATATTTAGCAAAACTTTTAAATTCTTCAGCAAAATCGTTCTTTTTGGGCGCCATTTTCTTAGCTACTCCTGTTAAAGTACACTTTTATTTTAGCTAGTAAAATTGTATCTCACAACAAATATATTTTATCTTTAATATCTAACTTTTAGCAATGACAGCAAAGTTCGAAGCTAGCTATTGATACTTAGATGATAATGCTATGTAGGTCATTTTTTTTGCGTGTTCCTACTGTATCAATATCGCACATACACATCGTAACAAATTTTCGTGTACATATTTCTAAAAAATTAAATAAGTATCTAAATTTAATTCTACAAATAAATTTAATGTTAAACTTA